CACGAAAAATAAATAGGAAAAAAATATGTATCTAAATAAAATAAAGGCGTGGCAGCAGCCCCCAAGATACATATATGTAGGTGGGTGGTGTTGGAAGGGGAGAGGAGTGGGGGGGGGAGGGGCGGTTGGCAGGCCGCGGGGTGCAGCACGTTTTCAACATTCGATTGGCCCGTTGTCATTTAGTTGACTTCTAAGCCGGCTTTCCCCTCCCCAACCCTCTCTCTACACTCCTCTATCCACCTCTCTTTCTCCCCCTCTCTCCCTCCCTCTGTCCGCTCAGTCTTTCACTGTTTCCATCTCTGTGTTTAATTTAGTTTACTTTCAAGCAAAACTTCTCCCGCATTCCCAAGTGTGTAATTTTAAATGTCAGCAACAATAAACACACATGCCAATAAACACACACACACACACACACGCACACACACACACACACACACACACACACACGCACACACACACGCACACACACACACGCACACACACACATGTTTTAAGCTGCTTGACAATTTTCCTTTGGTCCTTTCGACCAACTTATTTACTTTAAGTTGCAGACAGAAACAGAAACAAAAGTCTGAAGGCAAAACAAAATTGAGAAAAAAATTGCACGAACCGGTTCACGAACTGTGGTTCAAAATGTGTGCGCGCTTAGGCTAACAAATTTTAAGTTTTTAAAGCTAAAAGTCTTTATTCGTTTTGCCTGCGCGTCTGCCCATACGTATTCAAGCTAACGCACCGGTTCAAAAGTGGTTCAAAGTCAGAAAACAGTTAATAGAAAGAAAGTTCTACCAGCTTAAATATAATGAACTAGTTGAAAAGCAGTAAGTGGATGAAGTGAACCGGTTCAAAAGCAAGCTAAACCGGTTCGCTTAAGAATCCATAAGACAACGCACTGGTTCGCGCCGTGAACCGAAACAGCTATATTTATTATTGAGGTTTCTGCCCTGGTTCACATTTAGTTGCCTTTTATCAAAGTGGTTCACAGTTAAGTCTGAACCGGTTCAAGTTGGGCGTGAACTTACACTTACTTATCTTTCGCTTAAACTGGTTTCCCCTCTTCAGGTTCGGTTCAAAATGGGATATCCAAAAGGTTCAAAAGTGCTTTTCATGAATTTAATTAAAGTCATTCAAGGTCTTTAAGCTTTTCGAAAAATGTTCTTTGCATAGAAAAGTGCTTTGAATTCCATTTACTCGTCTATTCGTAGGTTAATTTCGTGACGTAACGGCAACAAATAAATGGAATTCATAATTGCAGCTGGCAAGTGAATTTGATGTGTCAAGAATTTCAAATATGCAAATTCATAATTTAATTCAGACAGCAGAAAAAAACAAGTAAGAGGTTCTAGTCGGGAGCTCCCGACTAGGGGATACCCTGAACCCTGAACCCTCTTCTTCCAACATCAAATGCATATATATATTCTATTCTAGAAGCTATTTGTCAAGTTTGGTGACTCTAGCTCTTATTATTTACCAAAATTGCCCAAAAAACAGGATATCAATATCGATATTTTTATCGATTGCTTGGAAACGGAGTAAGTTATCGATTATCGGAAACAAACTCGATCTGCGCGGGAACTAGGAGCACTAGGAGCCCGCAGGTGTCTAGCTCTTATAGGTTTTGAGATCCTTTCGACAGACAGACGGACATGGCTAGATCGACTCGGCTATAGATGCTGATCAAGAATATATATATACTTTATGGGGTCGGAGATGCTTCCTTCTGCCTGTTACATACATTTGCATTTTGCACAAATACAATATACCCTTTTTACCCATTTTTAATGGGTTCAGGGTATAAAAATGCAAATATTTGGCCAACAACTCGTCTTTAAGAGTTACAAGTACGAGAAACGCACGAAATACCTTTAACATGCCTGCATTTGAATTTCATTTAGTTGCTTCTCAATTAAAAATGCAACATTCTATTTAGTTTTTATTCGCAAGCAGCACGTAGTTCGTCTGTCTCAATTGCATTTCAATTAGCTTTTCAGCCACGGCCTGAAATGACTGCGAATTGACAACAACTTAAAGTCCAACACCATGTTTAACGTATGGTTGACCCCAGAAGAAAAGTCGTTGGTTCGACTTGCCAACTACTTGCCTTGAGGTTCGATTTGGTTCGGTTCGTTCACCTGGCTTTCGGCATGAACTTGAACTTTAGATAGGATACACCTTGAAAATACGTCAAAGCGGTATATTGGTTTTGTGCTACGGTATGTAACAGGCAGAAGGAAACAACTGCGACTCCTTAAAGTATATATATGCTTGATCCGTCCGTCCAGCCGAATGTCCATCATAGGAGCTCGAGAAATTTTGAACGCAGCTGCAAGTTTCCTTTCGATAATCGATAGCTTGCCTCGTTTTCAAGCAATCGATAAAAATCGATACATGAAAATTCTGTTTATAGAGCAAATCTCTTAGGTTTTAGGAACTAGAGTCACCAAATTTGAGACGTAACTTCTAGAAAAGTATATACAGATTAAGTATCTTTCATTTTTTAGCTATTCGAATCGGTTCAAGATACGTTAAATATATCGATAAATTGAGTTGAGTTGAGCTTAAAGCTTATTTTGATCCGTGATTTGCCATCACGCGTGTGCTCGAAAGTAACATGGATTACTGTAGGTCGTTTTACATTCCCTTGCTCAGAGGGCGCATCAAGTTTTAGCTTATTTGACTATTTGATTAGCTTTTGGAAAGAGCTGACCCTTTGCTGAAAGTAAATAGACAACCACTCGACTAAGTAGTCGCGTCTTGCGTAATCCGTGTCGTAATGTTAATGTATTGAAAGAGCTGTGCCAGTGCCAAAAAGCAAACCAGGACACAATTATGACACACGAAAAAAAAAATGCAACTATGTATGCTGTAAGCGGGTGTAATCGACTAGCAGATACCCTGAGACCAGCAACAACAAAAATTTTGAACTGTGCTTTCACTTGCCTTGGCCTCAGACTTAAGGCAAGGCTTTCTTGAAGAACTTCGGTGCTTAGAGTCCGATCTTGTGTTGTGAACTTTTCAGCACATAAATATGGCATGCAAGGTTCTGAGCATGAGAAAGCAGAAGAAAAGGCTTTAGCATGTGCAATAATTACTCAATTAAGATAAGCATAATAATGTTATTTGACATACGATATATTATGGAATCATGTATATCGATTATTTATCGAAATGCAGCTATTAACATAGGAGGAAACCTGAATAAAATAGAATCGATGAATACAAGAGAGAATAATAGAAGCTCATACACAAAACCAAATACATACATATCAAGCTCGTCAAATTTTCAAGTTTTGCCTGTGGAAAGCATGTAATAAAATCGATTTTTATCGATATTTTTATTATTTTTTATATTTTGATTTGCTTTATAATATATTCAATTGATATATAGTTTATAACAGCAAAACCCTCATACCCTTGCAGCCCATTGTCAATGGACTGAGGGTAAAGCAAGCATGTGCCTAAAAAAAGTAGATGTGTAGATCGAGACGAAAATACGTTGGATTTGAACCAATATTCAAGTGCACACAAAGGACACGTTCTGATGTAAATGATGACGGGTTGGGGAGTGCTGCAAGTTGGTTTAGTTAGCTTTTCGAATGGATGCGATAGATAGGACACGTATCTAATAAAATGGCTAGCACGCGTGTGTCCCTTGTCCTTTACACACACACACACACACACACACGTAGTCTAATGTGGCACAAACTTCGATCTGGCACTTGCAGAGCTTGCACACGGACGCAAATATTTGGCCAAGTTGGCAGCGCTCGCTTTGTGAGCTCATTAAATTTTGTTAAATGTAAATATGTGTGCGTGTGTGTGTGTGTGTAGGGGGAGGGGGTTGGGGCAGCGTGCAACACGTAGCTGGCATTGGCATTGTCGCAGCCAAAGGACAGCCGGGCAAATGCACTTCCTAGCACACTTCCTGTTGCCAATCGCCCCAGATCCTGTTCGTCCTGCTCGTCCTTGCGAATTTATTACGTGCAAATGTAAATAGCGGCACGTGCAGGCAGCCCATAGTCAGACGCGGAGCCCGACTCGCAGCCATTCCCAAGATGAATGCGCGACCGCGTCCTCTGCTGGCAATAAAAATGTTGTCGTCGCCAAACAAAGGCGAGGCACACACAGCGAGAGAGAGAGGGAGAGAGAGAGACGCTTTGTCAATAGATAAACCATCTACAAGTTACAGATACTTTGCCACAATATGCAATATTTGGTTTATTTGCTTGCCAATACTCCTTTTCAGCTTGGCTGGCATTCACTTTATTTTTTAGCCGACAGCAAATTTGACAGCTCAATGCAAGCAGTAAAAAACGTAGACCTGATGCGCTTCAATTTGTCGCATTAGCTCAAACAGGCTGGCTGGCCCAATAAAAGCCAAATGAATGCATTTGCAAATATCAAGTACTCAATTGCATACTGAATCATTTGAATACTACAACAAATACAATGAGTACCTTAACAGTTAGTCGCAAAAGCAAATACCTATTCGATAATAATGAATGAATGCAAGTATTCACAATCAATTTATCGACTCGATACGAGTGCAGCTTTCGGCAAATACAAGCAATGAGTACATTTATACCCTGTTGAAAACCCTAACATATATCGATATACATATTGTTACATATGGGAATATATCGATACATGTATCGATAAAAATAGCAATCCTTCAGTCCTACAAAGATCATCAATATTATAGACTATTTGAAGAGCAGCGTAGAGCTAACCCAAAACACAGGGAAAGCGCCAAGTCTTTTAGTCTCAATCATTTTGAAGTCAATCAAGTATTTAAGATTTAAAGAGATTATGTATCGATAGAGTGCCGATAGGCAGCTGAATGAATCGAACAATTTCTAAACAAGAAAGTCACAACTGGTAACATTAGCATAACTCAATTCTTCACTTAACCAATTCACAGCGGCCAGTGAGGAGAGTCGAGCGACGAGTCATCATCATCAAACGCGTAAAGCAATGCTAATGGGAACTAAAACAGGCTTATGATGACGATGATGATGATGATGATGATGGCCCAACAAAACGGCGACCAAAGCGCCAACAGCATTCGCAATCGCAGCAAACTGTATCGCAGCGAAAACTTCAAGTTCCACAATATCAGCAGTTGGATGCCGAGAGTGGGACGACGGGTAGAGCGACAGCGACAGCGACAATTAGAGACCATTAGCCAGAGGCAGACCAATCAATCCATATTCAGACAGAAGCTGGCGCATTTTCAATTTGCAGGCACGGGCGTGGGCGTGGCCAATGGAGGCGGACGATTGCAGATGTTGCTGTTGCTATTGATTTGCAATTGCATTGGTAAGTGCAAAGTGCAGTAAGTTTTTGATAAATAACCAGTTATCGATAATTATTCTTGTTATCGAGCTATCGATAATTGTCACATCACGTTTATCGAACTAGCTATAACTATCGTTAATATATATTTAACAATAATTTCAAAATTTGTATGAGTTTGAGCTTGTTAAATATCGATCATTTTTGTTGTTATCGAGTTATCGATATCGTTTATATATATTTAACAAAAAACTCTAACGAATGGTTTATCAACAATTGTATGCATTGCGCAAAATGTTTAGCTTGATAAATAATCAATTATCGAAATTTATTATTGTTATCGAGCTATCGATAGTTGTCACATAACGTTTATCGAACTAGCTGTAACTATAGTTTATATATTATATCAATAATTGCATTCAATTAATTGTTATCGATATTTGTCGATATTTATCGATCGATAACAAGACGCTTTGCTTTGTTCTTGCGTTAACTATATTTGATTGCGCTGCACTATCGATAACATACCCAAAGACAATCGGAAATCGATAACGCTTGCTTGGTTTATTTTATAGCCTGCCGTATTAATCGATATACGTACGATTTTTGTTTCGATAACTGTACATTTTGGTTCAGACTGCCGATATGACAAGATATATACATAAATATTTTTAATCAAAAAAATTCGTTAACTGTTCAATCAATGTTTTTCTCTTCATGGCAATTAACCATTGAAATGAAGATATTTCCGTTTCAAACAAAATCTCCTCAGTGGGCGCCTTCGAGCCGGACTTTGTGATCCCATTGGAAAATGTGACCGTTGCCCAGGGCCGGGACGCGACATTTACCTGTGTGGTCAACAATTTGGGCGGTCATCGGGTGAGTGGTGACGGTGCGTCAGTTCCAGCCAAGGTATGTATCGGTTTTGAAAACGCAGCGTTTCAATTTATTACCAATCGTTTATCGTTTCATTTCTCGATACGTTTCGTTTTCGTTCACGATTCGCACCAGTTTCACAGTTGAAAGTGCACAGTATTTTTTTTTTTTCAGTATATTCATTTTGAATCCGATAATAAATAATAATACTGCACAACAATCACGATTATTATGTTAACTCTTAAGCGCACCTACCTACTACATATATCAATATATTATATTTAAGTAAATATATCATACTATATATTATAAAAATAAAAATATATATATATATATAAATATATATTAATAGCACTTTGCATATTTCAAGCACCAAATGCACTAAAAACAAATCAGAAAAAAAAAATCCTACAATAACATAAATTGCAACAAAATACCCATTATTTCGACTAATAATACCAACAAAAGATATATAAGAGAAAGTAAATACCAGAAAATGCCATAAATACCAATTGGTTCAATGGAATATACAAAAACAATAAAATAAACCTATCTGTACATATGCATAGCCTTATATTGTTTTTATCATCGTATTATTATTAGAACCCGCCTTTAATTTACAACAAGCCAGCGGAGAGAAAGAGAAGGCAATACATCGCGAGAAAGAGATAGCCAACTGTATATATCGATATATTTACGCATATTAAAGTACACGAGAATTATTCGCAATTGTTGTTAAGAGCAATAAACAATTGCATGCAAATAAATTTAAAACAACAACAAAAAATACAGACATTAAAATAAACAAAATTACGTAAAAAATTATACAAAATAAAGAAGCCGCAGCACAACAATGAAAACGAGTTAAATAAAGGAAAAAATAACACAAAACGTTGCGCAAATATAAGAAGAAGACCACGCGGCGATTAAAATTACGTTTATTTAAAACGAGAAAGAAAGGCTATCTTCGGCACGCCGAAAATCTAATACCCTTGCAGACCCAACCTTTTCATAATGCTTTTAGTGCCTTGCCCGTATCTAAGAAGCACAGGGAAAATAGTTAATGCCGAGTTTGGGCAAGATATCTTGATAAACAAAATGTTTTTTCATACAACAACTTAATTTTCGACCGATCGTTCCTATGACAGCTATATGATATAGTAGTCCGATCTTAATAGGATGTTGCATATATATGAGGAGTATAGTAAAACTAATAAATGCCGAGTTTGGTCAAGATATCGTGAAAAACAAAAAAGTTTTCCATACAACAACTTAATTTTCGATTGATCGTTCCTATGGCAGCTATATAATATAGTGGTCCGATCCAGCTGGTTTTGACATATGTGCTGCGTGCAACAGAAAGAGGGACTTCTGCAAAGTTTCATTAAGATAGCTTTAAGACTGAGACTCGGCTGTTGATGCTGATCAAGAATATATATACTTTATGGGGTCGGAGATGTCTCCTTCTATTCACGACAAAATTAGAATACCCTCTGCAAGGGTATACAAAAATAAATATACGATTTATCCTTTTATCCTCGTAACCCGTGAATCAACAAGATTATGAGACAATAGCGCCAGAAATATTACAATAAATGAAATTCAACGAACCGAAGCTAGATGGAAACATGACTTCCTGTTTCTATCGGTATCGATATCGATAACAAATTTGATACTGAGAGTAAAAATATGCGATTTATTCTTGAAATATTATAGAAATTAATGAGTACAACGATCTGAAGCTAGATGGGCATATGACTTCTTGTTTAAGGACTTCGTGTGTTTCTATCGGTATCGATATCGATAACAAATTTATATCAAGAAAAAATATACATTTATTCTTGAAATATTATTGCATTAAATGAAGCTAGTTGGGCACATCACTTTCTATCGACATCGATCGCAATTTGTGTTCAAAAAATCGAGGCTTTATCTTTATAATAATATTGCAATAAATGAAGTACTACGAAGCTAACTGGTTGGTAGACTTCCTGCTGAGGGAACTACTACATCTACTATTGATATCGATGTCAAATTCACATTGAAAAGAAATCTAAGAATTATTCTTGTCGCATGATTTCCTGTTAATGAACGTTTTTATTTTCCATCGGTATCGATAACGATAGCAAAATTATATCGAACGCCTTATCCTTACAGTAATATACAATTACATGCTGTATATATTTATTATTATGACTGGGAAAGATTGGAGAAGGCGCTCTTCTCGTTTACAATAGTCAATAGCAATAGTTGGACACAAGTCAATGGCATGTTTGAAATTTGAATCTTTTAGAGTTTGCCAAGAAACAAGCAAACATCTAGTGTTGGAAATCGTGTGAGGTGTGTAATTTAACAATACTGCCCTTTGCCAGTCAAAGAGCACGAAGTCAAAATGCATCGTCAATATTATTTTGTTTGTAGCCTTGAGCAAAAACTGTGTTTAAGGGATTCTATGAAATCGCCTTTAAATGTAAATGAAATTTGATATAGTCCGAGTTTTATTTTCATTCATTTTGTTTTTACTGTGTGCTTGACTCTTGTTTTATGCGTTTCACACAATGAAATGCATTTTGTTTGCGCGTTGCCAACAATATCTGAATCAGGGTGTGTGTGTCTGAGTGTGTGTGTTTTTGCATTGTGCAAGGCACGTCAAAGAGTGTTAATCAACGAAATGGCATCATAAATAAAAATGCCATTTCATATAAATCCTGTGATGCTTCAATCAAACAAAAACAACACAACAATTAGAGAGAGAGGGAGAGAGGGAGATAGGGAGAGAATCGATACTCAATTTCATTTTATTTAAACAATAAATAAATAAATAAAATATTATCAACATAATAAAATAAATTGCATTCGCTTGGAAAACAAAATGAAAGTAATTGAAATATACGAATATGAAATGCCCTAAGCCAAAGTTGACTAAAAGAAAAATTGAAAAGCATCAAAAGAAAATTGCAAATAAAATGCATTTTTTATATACATTTTCAAATCAATCAAATTCAATAAAATACACATGAAAAGTCGGGCAAAAAATGCATCACAAAATTGATTTTATCAATCAATAAATCTAAGAAGCTTTAACACAAAGCTTAAATCAAATTTCTTTTCGGCTTAATCGTATAAGTTTCAAGAAAGAATTATTCTTGACAAGCAATCTTTTGGAATGACTTGCAAGCGTTTCTTTCGCCTTGCCCCCGCATTGAGGTTAGCTGCTTTTAAACGAGTTGGCAGCACCCAAAATATGCTTCAAGTGCAAAGCAGATTAAGTAAAGTTTTGCTTAAAAAAAGAAACTTTTTAGGCTTGAGTTAATTCGAACTTTATTAGCAAGCTGTTGGCAAAATCCTTGGCTTAAGTTTAACTTGAGCCCAACTCACAGGCTAGACAATTTTCTGCAGATAAATTGGCAGCACTGACTTCCATTGATTGAAACGGAAATACGGCTAGAAATACCAGTTTGAAGGCATTCCAGCTTTATTTTGTTGAAGCCTTCTGATATACTTTTTCAAGCTTTAAGTTTTGCAAGTCGTAGGAAACACAGTTTAGATAACATGTGCTTTTCAGTTAAGCGTAAAGTTTAGCTCAAAATAATAGTAAAAAAAAAACCAAAGCCTAGTCTTAAGCTGACAATTTCCTGTGTATATTTGTGAGCATTCCAACAAGATGATGCTCGACGGAGCTAAGGATATGTCAGAACGGATTGTTGAATATAAAGCAAATGAATGCAGAATGGAAGATGAGATGTATCTCATGCCCAGCGAAAGGTTGTCTTCGCGCTTGCTCAACAACGACTTCAACAAAAAGCAGCGAGTAAAACAAAGGCAGCGAGTAAAACAAAGGCAGCGAGTGCCGGCAACAACGAGTACGACAAAAGAATCGCATAATTGTCGCATTGTTTTTTCAGCCGCGTTTCATTTATTTTTATCGTAATTTAATCTCCATTACATTTTCGTTTTTTTTTTAATATATATATCTCTTTTCATTTGACATTATTTTTTTTTTATTTTTTTTTTTGGAAACAGAAATTTAAATAAAAATAAATTCAAGCGCACCGAGTTGAAACCGAAACAAACTTTGCACCATTTTCATAAATATGCATACGTGTATGTATGTGATTGTATGTGTTGTCCTCTATGTATGTGTAGAGTTCCTGTAATGGTCCTTTTGGTCCTTTTAGCGCCGTAGTCCTGTATTTAGTGCTTTTGTATCCTGACTTTATGACATTTGCTCGCCGCTTTTTTTGCATTTACACAGAACAATTTCTTTTTTTCTGCATTTTTCTTCCTTTTTTGATATTTTTTGGTATTTTTTGGTATTTTTTATATATATTTTTGGTATTTTTTAGTATTTTTTAGTCACATTCACAATCGGCACAATCCCTGGTTTTCGACTGGGTGGCAACTTCATGCCCTTCCTGCTCCCGCAGCATTACTCAATAAATTTGCTTTATTGAGTAAATAAATAAAGTGACAGTCCGGCAAACGGACAGCCGTACCCATGTCCCGCACAATTGCCTGTCCTTTCCTGAATCGCTATTTATGGGCTTATAGCCATTTTTCCAACATCACTATTGACACGGCCCAAACACTGGACGGAGGCGTGGCAGTTGTCAGCATAGTCGCAGCTGCATTTGCATTCACTTTGTTTGCCTGTTAACTCCGGCAGAAATCTACGTATGACAGAGATTTTGCCTTTGTTTTTTTTTTTGCTTTAGAGCCCTGCTTTACCACAATTGGGTCTCAAAGTCGACTTAAAGCTCTGCCGTGCTCCGTTATTATTTAAATAGAATTTTGACTTGTATTACCTTATTCCGTTTGGCTTCCAGCTGAATTTGTCTCAAATTTTGCCTACACATATTTGCTCTTATTTAATTTTTAACTACATTTCAGTCTATCTTAGCTCAGTTTAAGATTTTAGTAAGAAATTTTACAAATTTAAATTTGTTTTGTAGAAATATATTAAAAAACTATACTATTAGCTTGATGTTTGTTTTAAACATATTCTTTGTTGACATTCAAATCAATTAAGGGGCAAGATAAGCTTTATATTTATATATATGGGATTCTTGAACCTATTAACACTTTGGCATGTTTTGATTCTGGCAAAATTGTTCAACTAAACTAAACTTAACTTCAAATAACATGAAAGTCTTTCGTTTAGAAAGTTAGTGTTGGTCAGAGATTCAAAAGATCTGACACGTTTTGCAACACTATTCTGCCAGTGTTGCAAAAGAGACCATTTTTTACCAATAGACGCAAAATCTAGCACAAGTTCACATATTTTCTTTTCGAAGGATGAGAAAGCATTACATGATAATATCTAGATAATTTCCGCTTACAACAAATATTCTTTGTTGCAAAAAAATAAAGTAGAAAAACAATAATTAACAGTTACCGACAACTTGTAACCACTGTGCGCAAAACAAAACAATAGAGAGAGAGGGCGAGAGAGAGAGAGAGAAACTTTAATTATAAGAGAAATGTTAACGAAGCGTTAAATTTGCCATCTCTGTTGTTTGCATTTGAGGCTTTTGACTTTGACGCGTCGGCAGCGACGCCGGCAGAGGCTAGATGCCGTTACGACTGCAGCAGCAGCAGCAGCAGCTTAAAGCTTTTAACTAAACTCAAAGAGACAGACGGACGAGCGCACAGTGAGATTAGCACACACACACACACACACACACACGCACAGACACCCAGTCTCTCAGACTCTCTGGGATTAAGAGAGAGAGAGAGAGAGAGCATTCTTGTTCTGTGTGTATGTGTGTGTGTGGAGTAAACAGTGCCAGTTGCTGTTATTAGGCATTACGTTAATGAAAACTGTCCAGCGACTGTTAAAATGTGCGGCGCCCCTCAAGGTAGGCAACAGTTTCTTTTTGTTTTGTATTTGCGTTTGTATTCCCATTGAATATGCATGAAATGGGGTGTATTACAATTTCGCACAGGTATGTAACAGTCCGCAGAGAGGGTATATATAAATGTTCAATACATGTAATAGGCAAAAGAGAGGGTATATACATATACATATATGTTAAATGTATGTAAGTCAGAAGAGAGGGTATATATATAAATGTTTAATACATGTAATAGACAAAAAAGAGGGTATATATTTATATATATTCATTTATAATGAAGTCCATCTTCAACTTTTCTATCTTAAGTAAATATAGATTTTGTTTGGGGTCTAAAGCTAGCTAAAAGATTTCAAAATATTGCAAATTTTTCAAAGCCATATCCCGCCGTGCCGCTTTAAAGAACGTTTGATTACAGTACAGGGTAGCTTCTAGTCGGGCTTTGCTTTTATTACTATGATTTTCCTTTTATTTAACGTGCGTGTGTGTGTGTGTGTGTGTGTGTGTGTGTATGCTCGTGTTAGTTGTCTTTTGCATGCCTTAGCCTCGCCTCTAGCAACTGCACCTGAAACTCCACCCCCCCCCCCCCCTCACTACCCCCCGCCTGCCCACCCTCGCACATTTATACAAAATATATATATATATAATTTATACTTTCGATGGATTTTCTTCAGTTTCGTTTGCCAAATATCTATGATTTAAGCAATGAAAAATGCGGCCACAAATGTTAACTAATTTTTGTATGTTATCTCTTCTTCTTCAAAAACACACACACACACACACACACACACACGCACACAACAATCTAATACAATGGGCAACCGCAAAACCCAATTCCACTAATTGCACTTGAAATATCCGTTAACCAAAAACGAACAACTTGCAAAAACTTGCGGCAACAACAACAACAACAACAACAACAACAACAATGAACAATGAACAACAACAATGAACAATGAACAACAACAATGAAAATGGCGTCAAATTGCGCTGACATCTGACGACAACACCAAACGCTGCCGCCTGCAACCGGATTTTGGTTCTTGGGTTTGGTTTTGGGTTTTTCTGTCTCTGGCAACTGGCAACTGGCAACTGGCAACTTTTTGGCCATTGTCAACGACACCGACACCAAACGACAACTTTTGTATCGCTGACACAAAAAACAAATCCCCCCCCCCCCTCCCTCCCTTCCGCCTATTCCCCATCCAACTGATGCCGCCGCAACGAAACTTTCAACTAAATTCTAATATATCCGCAAATCGATTTCAACGAACTAACAAAAAACACAAAAAAAAAACAAAACAAAAAACAAACTAACTAAACGGAAATTGGTGAATGCGACGTTGACCAATAACTGCAACAACAACGACAACAACAACAACAACAACAACAACAACAACAACAACAACAACAACAACAACAAACAACTCGACTGCAATTTAACGTTTTCACGTTTGACAATGACAATGCGGCAAATCGGAATGGTTTGGCATTACCTATATGACATGATGATGTTGATGATGATGATGATGTTGATGACACCCTGATAATGACTCGCTAATGACATCGCACTGCAATCCACAACCCAACAACAATTTCCACACAAATGAACAACCGTCAAATGAAACGATGGAAATGAAACGCCATAACTGCTACGACGGAATTGAAACAACTAAACATTTACTGCAAATAACAACTTAAATGGAACATTTGGAAATGGAACATTATCTGCGCTGAAAAACAACTGTCAAATGAAACGATGGAAATGAAACGCCATAACTGCTACGACGGAATTGAAACGAATAAACCTTTACTGCAAATAACAACTGTAAACAACAACAATGAAAATTGTAAATTGTCAAATGGAACATTTGGAAATGGAACATCATCTGCGCATAACAACTGTCAAACGTAACGATATGAATCAAACGCAACGTCTGAAACGATGGAAATGAAACACAATGCAACACATGAACATTGACCCAACCATAACTAATTAAAAAAATGCAACAATGTGAACTGAAACAATGGAAACGAAACACTGAAACAACAACGAAATGAAACGCCAACGACATCAGGTCGCTTGGATTAAGGCCGATGCAAAAGCAATTCTGGCCATACACGAGCACGTGATAACGAACAATGATCGTTTATCGGTGACGCACAACGATTACAATACCTGGACCCTGAACATACGCGGCGTTAAGATGGAGGATGCCGGCAAATACATGTGCCAGGTCAACACAGATCCCATGAAAATGCAAGTAAGTATGCAAAAACTAATCATTATCACAATAAAATCATGTCCCGATTATCGATAACACGGCGCGTCTCTGTTATCGATAACAGATCGAAGAACAAAGCATGTACGTTAAGTATAATTATTTTTAACTTTTTACTTAAATAACTCAAGCGGCTGCTGTTATCGATAACAGCAAACATCGATTTAAACGCATGTGCTTTAAGCGATATATATCGATGCTATCGATAACAATTAAGTACTGCGCAAAATGAGCAAAATTCAAATTTAAAAAAAAAGAAATGATATAAAAATAAAAACAAAATCAAATAGAATATTTGCTAAGGCGCCACAATAAATTGTTGTCTTATAGTTGGCCTATCGATAAATCGAAAAATTTACAAAAATTTACGAAATTGTTGTAAATTCTATGTCAGAGCAGTCAACTCATTTCAAGTATGAAAATGTAAATAAGTACACACGATTCGAAGCAAACATAGACAAATTTCTATGAAATCCCATTATTAAGCTATGCACTTGCCAGGTGCATAACGAAGTTGTATTTAAATTGTGAAATAGAAACCCTTGCTGTCCGCCTCAATGCTATCAAATTTGCTTCGAAATGTGCCCAGAATATGCAAAAGAACAACAGCCAAAAATTGAGCTCAAAACAAGATTTGGAGTGTACCCGACTATAAAGTATATTTACCACCGTTTTCAATCAAAGTTCCAATTCAAATTCGATGTGTCTAGCTCTGAAAATCATCGAACTCGATCGATTTTATGAATATTCCAGAAGTTGAAGGAGATAAAAATATATATGCGTAAGGTGTTACATACATATGCATAAAAACAATATACCCCTTGCCGCGCATATTCGATGGGTAAAAAAAGCAAAAAGACGAAATGGAATGAAATGAAATTACTTTGGGCCTGCACTTGTCACATGCTTCTGAAGGCATTTGGCAACACTGGCGCTTGATTGCTGTGCGTGTGTGCGTGTGTGTGTGTGTGTGTGTGTGCAAGAGGTAAGGGTTAAGGCAGTTTGCTGGCATTTAAAACACGCTATTTAAACAATGAAACGCTTAAATGATACAAATAAATAACAAACAATGTGTGCGTGTGTGTGTGTGTGTGTGCAGCGCGTTGCCAGACCGTCCATTGAATGCGCCTGGATATGTGCAGCATGCAGCTTGCGTTCATTCAATTTCATTTCGTTCCGTTACGTCACGTTTCATTTCGCCGCGCAGCGCCCCCTGGCGGCAGCGACGGCGGCTGGTAATAAAATCAAGCTAACCAAGCGAATTGAGTGAAAGGCAAATATGAGACAAATAAAATGCAAACACACAGGCGGCCGCACGCAGCCAGCCGAAATCTAGCGCGACTGCCTTTTAAGCCTTTTTCGCCGTTACGTTTGCTTTCTTTTTTCTTTTTTCCCACGTCTCTTTTCTCTTCGCTTGGCGCTTTTTCGGTACGTTGGCTTGATTTTATGACGTAACTGTCAACAGCAGAAGCAGCCGCAACAACAACAACAACAACAACAGTGCCAAAAATAATTTACAATAAAAAGCAAATGACACAGGCAAATACACCAAACGTCACACAAACATACGAATTTTACAGTTAGCCTGAGTGCCGATTGCAGCAGCATAATCATGCACATACACACATACATATGTATGTATGTACGCGTATGCATGCGAAGCGTGGCTTGATCAAGGCAGATAAGCAAGTGCGAGAGCAGTATGCATACATACATGTATGTACACATGTATGTATGTATATACATGTATGTATGAGATGTTACAGTTATCTGTCGCGCAGCGCTTGAGCCGAAGGCAGCATAGGAAAAAGAAGAAAGGCAAAACGAAAAATATGTATGTATAGCAAAATATTTTTGTGATCCATGCGAGTTTTTGCCAAACTAACTTTCGCAAAAGAATATGAATACAAGTCAGATAATATCCAATTGCGACGTGCGCATTAACACACACACACATATGTATGTACATAGCTAAATGGCAAATTGGTTTTATGCTTATAAGACCTACCTAGCTTTATGACGTCACAGAACACAGCAGCGCGATCATTCATGCATATATTAGGATACACGCAATATTTTACTGCCAACATTGTGGGCAACTTTATAAATAATACTATTAATTATGTTAGGCACAAAAAAAAAAATATCACACACACACACACACTTGCACACGCGAAACACTGTTAGACCGCGAAACACTTATCGAAAGAAACGCAGTTTAAGGAAAACAACCGAAGCTGCTCGCTCTCGAGCAATTACTAACATCTAATCGCGCGTTCGCCGCCAATGCTGCGCTCTAGGACGAATATGGGATGAGAGAGAGAGAGAGAGAGAGAGAGAGTGAGAGAGGAACAATAATTACTTACCAGTGCAAACGCGATGCAAGCTGCCGCTCTTACATTTTGTCATCTGCTTTGCTATTTCTCTTCTTTTTTTGTTGTTTTTTTTTTTTTGCCTACGACAAAGATCGTGCCGCTAAAGTTTGGCCTTGGCTATGTTAATGAGCGAGCGAGAGCGAGAGAGAGATATGACATGTAATTCGCACAGTAGAACAAAGTTGCTGAAACTGCAATGAAAATAAAGTTGTTTTTAAAAAATACATATGTATATGTTAATTAAGTTTATTTTATAAAAAATAAATATAATTATAAAATAAGATTTATTGCTTAGATTAACATTAAGATGTAGATGAAAACCAAGCGAAAATCAAAATGGAATTATGCATCTATAAAAAAAAACCAGCTTGAAAAATGCAAAAATACTAAAATACCAACATTTGTTCAATTCTGTTGTTAAAGACAGCCACACTGGAGGTTGTTATACCGCCGGACATAATAAACGAGGAGACTTCCGGCGATATGATGGTGCCCGAGGGCGGCTCCGCCAAGCTAGTTTGTCGCGCCCGCGGCCATCCCAAGCCGAAGATCACCTGGCGGCGCGAGGACGGGCGCGAGATAATAGCACGCAATGGCGTGCATCAGAAAACCAAAGGTGAGTCGAACAGTGTGGCCGTCGCGCTACAATAACAAACTGTGTGACCGCATGTCAAACTCGGGCAATTTTCTGTTCCATTTTCACGCAAACTCAGCCATCTTGGTGGAGGGCGAAATGCTGACGCTGTCGAAAGTCACGCGATCCGAAATGGGCGCCTACATGTGCATCGCCTCCAACGGGGTGCCTCCCACTGTCAGCAAACGCATGAAGCTACAGGTGCACTGTGAGTATATGCCACATAATCCTTTCCAAGCTAGCCGTACTCTTATATACACTGTCCCGGAAATTTTAACTATATACATACATATGCTCCTGCATCCTATGCAACAGGAGCTTATTTCTTCTGTCGATAGTATAAATCGATAAATATCAATGAATATCGATATGGATATCATGTAGTTTATGTAGATATGCAACAAGGTTTCCATCGAAATTATATTGTCTAAAAGCATACTTTTTCGATAGCAAAACCTATCGATATATATCGTTTTAAAATAAGAGTCCTTCGATAGTACAAATCGATATAAGACACTGAATATCGATTTGTGGCTATTGTAGATTACATGAGTTTAAAACGGCAAAGGGTACAAAGCGAAATTAGATTGTCTTAAGCCAACAATTTTTTTCTATAGCTACTCATATCGATAAATATCGATTGGAAATAGATCTTGTATGACAATGACAATGACAAGACAATGACAATGACAAGTGACAATGACAATGACAATGACAATGACAATGACAATGACAATGACAATGACAATGACAATGACAATGACAATGACAATGACAATGACAATGACATGACAATGACAATGACAATGACAATGACAATGACAATGAATGACAATGACAATGACAATGACAATGACAATGACAATGACAATGACAATGACAATGACAATGACAATGACAATGACAATGACAATGACAATGACAATGACAATGACAATGACAATGGACAATGACAATGACAATGACAATGACAATGACAATGACAATGACAATGACAATGACAATGACAATGAAATGACAAGACAATGACAATGACAATGACAATGACAATGACAATGACAATGACAAGACAATGACAATGACAATGACAATGACAATGACAATGACAATGACAATGACAATGACAATGACAATGACAATGACAATGACAATGACAATGACAATGACAATGACAATGACAATGACAATGACAATGACAATGACAATGACAATGACAATGACAATGACAATGACAATGACAATGACAATGACAATGACAATGACAATGACAATGACAATGACAATGACAATGACAATGACAATGACAATGACAATGACAATGACAATGACAATGACAATGACAATGACAATGACAATGACAATGACAATGACAATGACAGTGACAGTGACAGTGACAGTGACAGTGACAGTGACAGTGACAGTGACAGTGACAGTGACAGTGACAGTGACAGTGACAGTGACAGTGACAGTGACAGTGACAGTGACAGTGACAGTGACATGACAATGACAATGACAATGACAATGACAATGACAATGACAATGACAATGACAATGACAATGACAATGACAATGACAATGACAATGACAATGACAATGACAATGACAATGACAATGACAATGACAATGACAATGACAATGACAATGACAATGACAATGACAATGACAATGACAATGACAGTGACAGTGACAATGACAATGACAATGACAATGACAATGACAATGACAATGACAAAAGTTATAACAAGAGCATCTGCTAGTCGGTCAGTGTACAGTCTTCTGTTGCTTCTGCTGCTATTGATAAATGACTTTTTGGCTGGCTGCTAACAAATGCTTTGATTTATAACCCAGGCAGGCGCTACAATAATAATCATAATGTCTCGGATGTGCGTGCAAGTCTTTTCCAACAGCCTAGCTACACCCTACCTCAGCCTAGCTACACCCTACTTTAGGCGGCGGCAACCGCAGCATAGCGCAATAACGCGAACTGCAAGTGTTTCCGTTTCGATTTCCGCTGCCTTTCGTGGCGCCAAACTTGCATTAGGACAGCGGCTAGCTGTAGGGTAGCGCGAGGCGGATGGGTGAAAGGAGGGGGGGTGGGGGGGGGGGGGGAGGAGGGGAGTCTAGACGGAGTCTAGAGAAACGTCACGTTTCTGTTGTAAAAGTTGAGCAGCTTTTGGCCCGTGTATCATGTGACCAGGGGCAGAGCATACACCCCCTCAACCCCTCTTCCCCTCACCATCTAGCCCAAAACCCCTTTCCCCCCCTCCCCCGCTGCATGCCAGCGGCTGCTGCAGCGCATTAAACTTAATGAAATTTTTCTGCAAAGGGGCAACAACAGCAGAAAAAAACAAATTTAAAGAGGAAGAAATAGCGTGTGTACACATGTATGTATGTATGTATGTATATGTGTGACTGGGTAGGGTAAGGGGGCGTGGGCGTGGGCGTGGGCGTGGGCGTGTGCTTGTCGCGCAGGTAAAAGATTCTATCTGCAAATTATATTGACACGCCCAAAATGTTCGCACCTCAATGGGCGGCAGCTGCTGTGCGAGTGTGTGTGTGTGTGTGTGTGTGTGTGACACACTCTCTGCCCTACTCAAATGTGCCCCCCCCCCCCTCCACCACTCTGGCAAAGCGTCTGTCGCCGCCGCCGCAAAAATTAATTTCCATTCTTTTTTTCTCTTTCTCATTTGCCTTTTTTTTCATTTCATTTTTTCTTATCTTCTTTTTTTTTTTTTTGATTTCATTTCATTTTCGTGTCCTCTTCTGTCTGTCTATCAGTCATTCGTCGCCCCGCACCCCGCGCCCACCCCCCCCCCCCCCCCTGCTGCTTTATTGCTTTTGGCTTTTGCGAGTGCGTCTCAATTTCAATTTAAAAACTCCATATGCTCGCATACCGACCCATCCCCCCACCCCCGCGCCCCAAACTCACCACACACCATTCACCACTCACCACTCACCACTCTCCGCTCTCCGCTCGCGCAGCGCAAGCTTCTCTTTTACCACAACTTCGCCCTCGCTGCACAGAAAACCCCCTTCCCTGATTTCTTTTGCTCTTTGACGTTGTTTTCGTTTCTTTTTTTTTTTTTTTGTTTCCTCTTCTGCTCGCGTCTTGTTGTCTTAACCTGACAGCAAGAGCCACCACCCCTTTGGCGGCCCGGCTGCCCCCTCTGGGGCCTGTCCTTGGCGCATTTACCGCTTGATTTCTTAAGCGCTTTGCTTGATTGATTTTAATCAGAAAATTAAGTGGATCCTTGGCTTTTAAATTTCTCCAGTACAAATAAAAGGCTGACAGGCTGTCAGCAGGGGATGAGCACAAGGCGAGACAGACAGACAAAAGAGAAATAAAAAGAGATAGTCGAGGTGAGAGCATTCATTAAAACTACAGTTTGCATTTACCCAGAGACACTTTAAGAGCTATCCTATTTTCTCTTCTTTCGTGGACGCCTTTAAAAAGTAAAGGAAAATGTTGCCCGCGTGAGAAAATTGTAGGTCAAAATAAACTAAGAAAATGGGTTTTAGGGCAAAATATTTGCTACAATTTAGAAAATGCACTTTTGTCATTGTCATTGTCATTGTCATTGTCATTGTCATTGTCATTGTCATTGTCATTGTCATTGTCATTGTCATTGTCATTGTCATTGTCATTGTCATTGCATTGTCATTGTCATTGTCATTGTCATTGTCATTGTCATTGTCATTGTCATTGTCATTGTCATTGTCATTGTCATTGTCATTGTCATTGTCATTGTCATTGTCATTGTCATTGTCATTGTCATTGTCATTGTCATTGTCATTGTCATTGTCATTGTCATTGTCATTGTCATTGTCATTGTCATTGTCATTGTCATTGTCATTGTCATTGTCATTGTCATTGTCATTGTCATTGTCATTGTCATTGTCATTGTCATTGTCATTGTCATTGTCATTGTCATTGTCATTGTCATTGTCATTGTCATTGTCATTGTCATTGTCATTGTCATTGTCATTGTCATTGTCATTGTCATTGTCATTGTCATTGTCATTGTCATTGTCATTGTCATTGTCATTGTCATTGTCATTGTCATTATCATTGTCATTGTCATTGTCATTGTCATTGTCATTGTCGTTGTCATTGTCATTGTCATTGTCATTGTCATTGTCATCGTCATCGTCAATATCATTATCATTTCAAAATATGGTAGTCTCTTAAGCTTTTCAGGATCGTAATAATAGCTCTATATGATTTCTATCTATTTATTATTAATTTGCTTATGCTCCCTGGCTTATTTCAATTTCTATATAGAATAATAACCAAAATATTACATAAAAAATAAGTTTCATACAAGTACTTCCTAGTTTATTCATCTTTTTCTTAAGTTTTCTCTGTTTTGGTTTTTCACCTGAACGCATGTCAAGTCGCCGTTAGAACAAATAAACACGAAAATCAAATAGACGAACAGCTGTGTTATTGGACTCAACTCGGACGCGATCTGTGCAGGTCGCTTGGGTAAACACAGACGAGAATGTGAGCGAGAGGGAGAGAGATTAAGAAAGCGGGGGGAAAATAGAGATAGAGGGTTGATGACGCAATTGTTTTTGCCATTGAAGAGCAGAAAGCGAGCAGCTAAGCATACAGCACATGACGTAGAGCCTAGGCATAAGAGGCCAAAGCGTTTGACTATAAAACCCCAAAGAACTGGGCTAAACCCAAGTCAGTTCCCAACTGCGAGTCAGAGAGTATGCGCACCTACATCCTTGTCACATTGTTCGCCGTAGTGGCCGTGGCAGCTGCACAGGGCCCAGGCGGCGGACGCGGCGGTCCAGGTGGTGGACGCGGCGGTCCAGGAGGTCCTGGTGGTCGCGGCGGTCCCGGTGGCGCTCGTGGCCCGGGTGGTCCCGGTGGTCGCGGTCCAGGTGGTCCAGGCGGTCCTGGAGGTCCACCTGGTCGCGGTCCCGGCGGTCCAGGTGGTCCTGGCGGTCCTCCTGGTCGCGGTCCAGGTGGTCCAGGCGGTCCAGGTGGTCCTGGAGGTCCACCTGGTCGCGGTCCAGGTGGACATGGTGGACACGGCGGACATGGCGGACACAAGCGTACCACCACCACCGAGAGCAGCACATCCACTGGCACTGATAGCACCACTGTGGCTAGCACCACTCTGGCCAGCACCACGGAGGCGAGCACCACAGTCGCCAGCACCACCCTGGCCAGCACCACGGAGGCGAGCACCACTGTGGCCAGCACCACCCTGGCCAGCACCACAGAGGCGAGCACCACCCTGGCTAGCACCACGGAGGCCAGCACCACAGTCGCCAGCACCGCAGCTGACAGCACCACCGAAAGCAGCACCGCGAGCCCAACCACCGGTTAAGCTGCTGCTTTCTCATCTTTGGCATTTTTGAATATGTATTTGAATAAACGCATAACAATTCTTATGTGGAAACCTTTTTGGTTTTATTTATCTCTAAACTCTCCAAACTGCACGTAGAGATACCCTGTTTTATATTTCGTTAATGAAATCTTTGAGCCAAAATTTCCATATAGAAGCATTCGATTTTGCGAAAAACGTAACTAATACATTTTGTACAAAAATCGCTGCAAAATGATTTTGAAGCCAAAGCAAAAAAGTTGCTAACTTCTCGCCAATTTTCCACAATTGCGGGTGGAACTTTCAAATTCGAAGAGGCGCGGATTATGTGATAAATTTGAAACACACCACAAATGTATTTGAACAGAAATCTTTGAGAATTAGTCAGAGATGCCCACAACTGCCTGTTACATACACTTGCACATAACTGGTATACCCCATTACCCATATTAAATGGGCTTAGGGTATACAAATTACACATACGCCGCGTGTGACGCTGCTGCTGCTGCTGCCGTAACAGCTGCAAGACTCTATTAGAACAAATTGCATTTTCAATAAGTGATAGGCAATGCAACAACAACAACAACAACAACAACAAGAAACAATAACAAAACACAAGTAGAAGAAGAAGAAGACGGGCAACAACAGCGAAAGTGAAGCTAAGAGATTGGAGCAGAGATTACAGCACAGGCGACGCTAACAGCACATGACATATGCTACATTATTTGGAGAGTCACACACACACACACACACACACACACACACACACACACACACACACACACACACACATGGACACACACAAACATGAAAGGCATGCACAAATCCAATAAATTGACCAATAATGAACGGTTGAACGCAAACAATGCCAGAAGCCAGCGGGAGCTGACAGTTGCAACGCGAAGAGAAGAAGAAGAAGCAACAAATACAAATAAATAAATAAAAGAAAGCACAAAAACATGAGAAACCAAAGTTGAAAAGCCAAAAACAATGATGGTCAGTGGCAAAGCCCAAGACAGACCCAAAAAAAAACGACAGAAAAAGAATCGAAAAAAACTCAAAAAAAACCTCAAACTGACACGAAAGCGAACACAAAAGCAAGCAGAACGCCAAAAAACATGCAAGTCATGCAACAGCAGCTGAACGAATGCGCAAATACCCTACCTAGGCTCACGTAACAGAATGCTAACAGTGTGTTTTAACAGTAGCTCACAGCATGTTAACAGTGTGCTAACAGAATGCGTACAGTATGTTAGCGAAAAACAGGTTAAGCAAGGCGTGTTGCCTTAACATCGATGTAACAGAATGCTAACAGAGTGATAACAGTATGTTAAACTAAATTAAGTTTGATTTGATTGAGATAGCATAACAGCATGTTAACAGCAGTGTGCTAACAGAATGTTTTCTTTTACTGTAAGCTGCGTAACATAACTCTTACATAATGTTAATGATATGTTGTCTAAATGCAGCCTTACTTACAGAGATAAGTGACATTAAAATAATAATAATTTATTGTCGCTTTTCCTACCTAACAGAATGCTAACGGACTGTTAAGTGTATGTTATCGAAAAAACCATTATTTATAACTTATTTTTTTTAAACACTTTTTGGCTTGCCTTGACAATGAGCTCTTTAACAGAGTGCTAACAGCGTGCTAACAGTATGTTGTCGAAAAGTAGCTTAACTTGGCCAGCTCAAGAGTTTAGCCGTAACAACTGGTCACACTGCAGCCAGTGTTGGTTAACGAGCGCAAATCAAGTTAATACAACTAACATTTCAAGAAAGCGAACAAATTTAACTTTTTCCAGTTGTTAATAGGCGTGATGTTTGGGCTCAAGCGAACCGAACCCACTGAACTAATGTAGCTAATATGCCCGCTCAAGCTAAATGTAATGGGTATAACCACAGAGACACTGCGTGGCGAGGGCGAGGGGCGCTACTAACAGCAAAATAATTCATTTTCAATTAAAATCGTATCAGTTGCCGTTGCTGCCATTAACAAAATAACAGCATTTCACAGGGTTTATCACAGCATCAGAATCGCCTTTGAACCAATGCGCTGGTTCGCAAGCTAATTGCCCGCCATGTCCGGGCGAAGGGCAGGACTTGGTTATCTGTTGCAGCCAGTTGGCAGCTAGATGATTATGTTTCTCTCTCTCTCTCTCTCTCTCTAACTGTCTCTGATATTCTCTCTCTCCCTCTCTCCCTGTCTGTTCACAGTTCATCCGCTGGTGCAAGTGCCAAATCAATTGGTTGGCGCTCCGGTTCTAACGGATGTCACATTAATTTGCAACGTGGAGGCATCACCAAAGGCCATCAATTACTGGCAGCGCGAGAATGGTAAGTCTTCTGGCTTTGCCTTATTGGTTTATTGCCGTTTTTCTTTTTTCTTCTCATTGTATTTTCACCTTTTTTTTTGTGTTAAAAACTCGCCACGTCGCATACCCTGTACACATGCAAAATGGTTCGCAGACAAGGTTGACAACTCTGTAGAAAGTTGCCAATTTGTCGGCATGGCAAAATATATGACTACTTTTTGATCTATCGATATATTATCGATACATTGCGATATATCAAAATGAAGAATCGATATATAACACATTTCATATCGATATATGTTAATTCGCCTGGCTCACTCTTGAAGCTAAAACTTGAGTTTTCAATTCATCGATAAATCGATTAATTTTTGTCGTTTATATCAAACGCCTATCGATAGAAGCTCCTATAACATGTTTCTATATGTATTCTCACTTATTCTGTTTCGTAACTGTTGCGACTAGTATACGTAGTGCATCGATAAATCGTTTAATTGTAGCAAGCACCTGTTATCGATAATAGTTGTTATCGATATTATACCGATTTATTCCTTAAACTTTCTTCCCATTTGTCATATCAGACACAGTATGGGATAAAAAACGATATACATCTGAACAATATTCGAATCGAATAAGTGCAGTTGCTTTTATCAAATTACTTATCGATATGTCGCTATTTCTTGCAAGATATCGATAGTCCTTTATCGCTAATCGATTTTTCCAACTTTCAATCAAAGTTCTCAATTTCCAATCTGAAACTAAGCACAGGTATTTTTGGAGTCGTGCTCGTCTAGCTCGGCTTTCAGTTTTACTCTTTCAAATGGCTTTTTTTGTGAGTTTTCCTCTTTTTGGTCGTTGATTTTGAGAAAGGGAGCGAGGGGTAGAGAGAGAGAGAGAGAGAGCGGGGAAGAGGCAGAGAGACAGCTGAAGCTTTATAAACCCTTCAATGCCGCAATTTGTCTTTATTTGGTTCGTGTTCGATGCTCAAATATTTTCTTGCTGCCCGGCAACTTCTGGAGCCTCTGTTGCTGTTGGTTTTTCTATTTAACTCTTCTATTTTCATTTTTTGTTCTTTGGTGTCAAGTGCACTTGACGTATATTGCAAACGTGACATGGCATGGCACGAGCTGCCATCATTCAGACATTCAGTCTGCAGGCATCGCAAATGTCATCATCAAAATGGACTTTTCGCTTCAGTTGCCTCTCGCCCCCATCGTGCCACATTCCAAATTTTCATCTGCCTTATTTTTTTCTCGCAGGTGAAATGATTATTGCCGGTGATCGGTATGCGCTCACCGAAAAGGAGAACAACATGTACGCCATCGAAATGATTTTGCATATTCGGCGACTGCAGTCGACCGACTTTGGCGGCTACAAATGCATCTCGAAGAACAGCATTGGGGATACCGAGGGAACTATACGATTGTATGGTAAGTTGACAAGAGTTGACAATATGAACTAGTTCCGTGTTCAAATGAACTGAGCTTGCCAGCCCGATTGGCATCAATAGATTTTGATTCAACTTTAATTGAGGCCTTCTTTTATTTGAAATGCTGAACTAGTTCTTTTTCTTAAATTTGAATGTTAGCTGTGAACTAGTTCAGCTGTGAACTAGTCATTTGAGTTTATCTCTATCTCTATTTTATATCTCTATTTATTTTTTACATTTTGTGCTCTTCATACGAACTGGTTAATTTTTGAGTTAAAGCTGTGAACTAGTTCTTTGAGTTTTTCTTAAATTGAACTAGCATATGTTAAAAAAAATGCAGTAATTTTCTCACTTGAGCTCTTCGCACGAAATTGTGTGTTTTTTCAGTTGAAGCTGTGAACAAGTTCTTTGAGTTTTTTTTTAAGTGAACCAGCATATCTGAACATAGAGCTCGTCGTACGTAATGGTTATTTTATGCAGTTGAAGCTGTGAACTAGTTTGGTGTTTTAGCTGGAACTAGTTCTAGTTAAGTGATTCATACGTTTGTTTTTGTTTAAGACAACAGCAACTTTTTACTATTAATATCATGTTTACTCAACACGAACTTCACACTGACTCATTTGAACTGGTTCATCTCTAGTTTATTACTAAAGTTTTTGAAAAGCTTTCATTTATGTTTACCCTCAGAAATGGAACGTCCGGGCAAAAAAACGCAACGCGAGGAGGATCTTAATGAAGTGACGGTAAGCCAAGCAGATAATACACACACACACACACACACACGCACACGCACACACACGCACACACACATGCAGAGACAAAAACAGATTTTATTAAATATTATTTGTGTGGAATATGCATTTGCTTTGAAAACTGACTGCAGAAGAACGAGGTGGTGCTGAAGGAGAACCGGCACGAGGATGGGTCACGCAATCAGAATGGTCGCCTGTACAAGGACCGCAGCCAGGAGGCGGACATCGGCAGCGGAGCAGCCGCCGCCGCAGTCACAGCCGGTGGCTGGTCAAGAACAATGCAGCTAATAAAGCCATTTCTATTAGCACTATTTGTATTATTAACAAGCAAACGGGCCTGGGGCCAGCAAATGGAACTGGAACAGGAACAGGCATGGGCAGCGGAATTTTCGTCCAGAGTCGAAAGATCAACGACAAGGACAATGGGCATGGCCAGCCGGTGCCAGGGCAGTAGTCGTTTATTATAGCTTAATTAAATTGTAATTATAGGAATGCATAACAACAACAATGGGAAGATCTGCAAGCCCGCCCTCTCCACGGAATAAGACAAACAATAGTTACCGAGAGGCGAGTTCTTTTTTCTTTTGATTCAATTCAATACGAAAAAAAGTGCATAAGTAGTTAAGATTAAACTAAAAAAAAACGCGTTTAAATGTTACCTCGTTAGTGAAGAAAAAAAAAGAGAAAAACTTAAGTAAGCTATGTCAAAGTTCATATGTTAATCTTGGTTCCAGCAGGCTTTAGCTACTTCAAGTATTAAATTAACGAGAAAGCAGAACGAGCCTCGGTTCGCCGAAGATTCAATACCCTTGCAGACAGCCAAGTGCGAAAGAGCTATGCCACAATATACTCTGATTTTTGCCCTATTACAAGTAGTTGTCTGATATTCATATTGATATAGATTTTATGTCTAGTTTTTGTTTTTGTTTTTTTAAGATAAGTTGCGCAAATCAAACAAATCGCAGCTTTAGGAAGCATTAGCCAACACTAGATTTAGAAACTTGGGAGCGTTAACCAGCACTAGAACTTATTTGTCTTTGCATTGTCCATCACTTTGTATTGACTTTTGCTCCCAAGTTCCGAGACCTAGTGTTGGTTAATGCTCCCTAGTTCCGAATAATAGTGCTGGTTAATGTTCCCAAGTTCCTGGATCTAGTGTTGGTTAACGCGCCCAAGTTCGGAGATCTAGTTTTGATTAATGCTCCCAAGTTCCGAGACCTAGTGTTGGTTAACGCGCCCAAGTTCCGAAAACCTAGTGTTGGTTAATGCTCCCTAGTTCCAAATACTAGTGCTGGTTAATGCTCCCAAGTTCCTATATCTAGTGTTGGTTAACGCGCCCAAGTTCGGAGATCTAGTTTTGATTAATGCTCCCAAGTTCCGAGACCTAGTGTTGGTTAACGCGCCCAAGTTCCGAAAACCTAGTGTTGGTTAATGCTCCCTAGTTCCAAATACTAGTGCTGGTTAATGCTCCCAAGTTCCTATATCTAGTGTTGATTAACGCGCCCAAGTTCGGAGATATAGTTTTGATTAATGCTCCCAAGTTTTCAGACCTAGTGTTGGTTAACGCGTTCAAGTTCCGAAACCTAGTGTTGCTTAATGCTCTCTAGTTCCGAAAACTAGTGTTTCGAGACCTAGTGTTGGTTCACGCGCCCAAGTTCCGATTTGCGCAACTTATCCTAAAAAAAAAAATCTTGCAAATTTTATTTTGAACTAGAATCAAATTTTCGACGAAAAGTTCCTATGAGATCCACAAAAAAAGTTAAGCCCGTTTAATAAGACTTTGCCCAAATCAAAGATATTTAATTGCTCAATTTTGAAAAATATTTAGAAAAGATTCAAATCAAAATATATAATTTTTCAAAAATATTTCAAATGCTTTATATCAATGCTTGTTAATAAAAGATATTTCGCCAAGTTCCATCAGAATAACAACACGAAGAGATATGGAACAATTGGAATACCCTCTGCAAGGATATGAACGAAAGAAAATCCCAAATCACAAGCATACCATAAATAACATCTGGAATACCTAATGAACAATGACAAAACCCCCATATCAACCCATTCTAGTTGTCTAAAGTTTTATTCTTTTAGGTTTCGTAAAGTGTTTCATGTTTGTGTATGGTTAGGTTAGAGGGTGGGTGGGGGTTGGCCTGTATATACAATTAGATATACCATATCTATGAAATATTTCAGCTCAAATCATATTATTAATAAATGTTTAGGCAATTAAATGGCATACGATATTGTAAATATTCGCACCAGTAGTGTTCTACACAATTTGTTCTAGTTGATAAATATTTTCTTTTACTTTTGCTTAGTTTTGTTCAGTTTATTGATAATAACCTCTTCAAATGCTGCTAAATATTCTGATGCTTTCGCTTAAGCTCACAAGAACTGGTTCACACGCTGGTTCAAATATTGCTATGCGTAGCGAAACTAGTTCTTCTACATTCAATCAAAAGCAACTGAACTGGTTCATTGAACCTAGAATATGAATATAAAATCTCATATATTTATATCAATTGGCTCAAACGGTTTGTTCTTTCGTGTCAAACACGTTTAATGGTTGCACTGGGAAAAAGAACACAAGTTCGAATCGGAGCTAGTTCGTAAAATTCAAACTGATTTGGAACAGCACCAAGCGAACCAGTACGATGGACTTAGTTCGAAAGAACAGACGTAAAATTTGCTCAACAAAACAGAAAATGAACCAGCAATAAAGAGCCTTAGTTACGCTGAACTAGCTCAAATGAACCAATTTGCATTAGCCAATTGAATTTGATGAGCTAGTTCCACGATCTGCCGTTTTGGTTCATTAGCTCAGCTCAAAAGAACAGCAGAAAATATTTGCACAGCAAAACGAAAATGAACCAGTTCGATCTAGTTCAAATGAATCAGCTCACCTAATCAAAATGAACCAGTGCAAAGCCATACCCAACCAAATGAATCGCTCTCCCCCTAAGCTAAACGAACGAATACGTAAATGCATATGTGTCTGTATGTGTATGTGTATGTATGTGTGCATGTATATGTATGTGTATATGTATTTATGCAATAGCTAAGTGTGCACGTTCAGCTTAATTCCATGTTCAATATTGTGTATAAATATGCAAAAAGACAGAAAAATGTGCCAAATGCATCTAAACCAAACGAAAAAAAAAGAAGATATATATAAAGATATAGATATATATATATATAAAAGAGATATGTATGCGTGTTCGATATTCAATATAGCAACAATAAAATCAAATAAATGAACACATATTTGTGACTAAGTATAATAATCATTAGCCCGAACATAAACTGAGAGCAGGCAATAACAAAGAAGCTACAAGAATCGGATATGTGCTACAATTCTAGATACCCCCCCCCCCCCCCCCCCCTTACTTAAATAAAGTACTACCGATTAACCCAGACGTACTCTGACTTAATATACGTACCAAAAGATAAATCAATGTACTAGTGAAAATGGAGAACCGGCACAGCGACAGATAAAAAGAAAACAAAATTTTTAAAAATAATAAAACAAGTTTATATACCTAATATATCATACATATTATATATATATATATATATAGTATATAGGAAAGATTGAAGTTTGTTTTTTTTTTTTGAGATAAAAAAGATATCGCATAGCAAATCAAAGTTACAAATATAAGTAAAATATACATAAATCAACCAAAATGATATTTAGCAAAAATTCAAAGAGATCAACTCTGATTAAGGCTAAGTTAAAGTTAACTAAGTTCTCCATTCAAAACTATTCTAAAATATAATAAAACAGAAAAACAAAAATAAAACGTAATGCATTCAATGTCTACGCTACAGTACATCTCCCAAAAAGAAACCACAAAAATACCATACAAAATATTTATAAAAAAATACCAAAAAAAAAAAGGAAAAAATGCAATTTAAGAGTAAAAAATACTCGAAAAGTAGGCAAAAACTACTCATTGAAAAAATACACACACAAAACTATGAATTACAATAAACGCCAACGAAAACAATTTGAATTGTTGTTAACAAAATTTCAGCATTATCTGAAAAACATTTAATACTTTGTTTGGCAAGCAAACTTTCTGTCCCTATGTTCATGTATATATGAATATTATTTGTTATTTGTAATTCTTGATTGTAAATTCGGAGACCCCAAATATGCAAGCAACAAAAATTGATATTAAATAAACAACTGGAAAATAAATGCAAAATAAAGAAAAATACGTATGGCAAAAAAAAATGATGGCAATTGAATTATTTTAACACCTGCTGGTAATTGCTGCACAGTATTTTTTTTTTAATTTTTTATGCTGTTTATTAGTTCAACAACATGCCAGTACGGTACAACAACAGATTGCAAAGCTCTTACATGAGCTTTAACATGGACTTTGACATGACTTGCATATGATCTTTAGCATGAGCTGTAACGTGAGCTTGCCATGGGCTTAAAAATTAACTTAAACATGCGCTTTAACGGATATTAAAAAAGCTTTTGACATGAGCTTTACCACGAACTTTAACGTGAACTTTGACATGGACTTTACCATGGACTTTGACATGACTTGCATATGATCTTTAGCATGAGCTGTAACGTGAGCTTACCATGAGCTTAAAAATTAAGTTAAACATGCGCTTTAACGGATATTAAAATAGCTTTTGCCATGAGCTTTACCATGAACTTTAACGTGGACTTTGACATGACTTGCATATGATCTTTAGCATGAGCTGTAACGTGAGCTTACCATGAGCTTAAAAATTAACTTAAATATGCGCTTTAACGGACCTTAAGCTTTTGCCATGAGCTTTACCATGAACTTTAACGTGGACTTTAACATGGACTTTTACATGACTTGCATATGATCTTTAGCATGAGCTGTAACGTGAGCTTACCATGCGCTTTAACGGACCTTAACATAGCTTTTGCCATGAGCTTTACCATGAGCTTTAACGTGGACTTTAACATGAGCTTGACCATGAGCTTTAATATAAAGTTTGAATTCGACTTTACCATAGGCTTAAGCATTGACTTTAACATGAGCTTCACCGTAAGCTTTAACATGAGGCTTACCAGCAGCTTAAGTAGGGACTTTAAAATGGACATAAACAAGACTTTTAGCATAAGCCTTGCGCTGAGCTTCAACAAATACTCTAACATGAGCTTTTCAACTGGCGTATGCTGCGATAACGCTTGAATATTATCAAATAGAAACTTTGGATCATCAAAAAACTCGTAACTCAACAGTCTTCAGTCTTCAACGAGTGCTCATCAAATTATCTTGGAGCGTCTTGAATAATGTATGAAGTTAATAGTATCAAATTCTGATGGACACTAGCTTAAAATGAATGTTAATCTTATTTTCGGAACTAGTTCGTAGCGCAAGCAATGAAACCTTTCCTCACAAGAAGCATACAAAAATTACATATTTATAAACTTGTCACTTAAAATATGGGGAA